TATATATATATATATATATATATATAACTAATATATATATATATATATATATATATATATATATATATATATATATATATATATATATATATATATGTATATATTTTGTAGACTAAATATATACATATGTATGTATATTTTGTGAACTAAATATATATTTTTTTTTTAATTTATAGGTCTGATGAATTGGATCGTATTTACGATTCCAATGTAATAAATTATGACCATGGAGTACTAGTGTTTAAGCCTTTTTATTATATATATATATATATATATATATATATATATATATATATATATATATATATATATATATATATATATGACTGGAAATGTTTTTTGTGACGCGTTTCATCCGTTAGGATTTCATCGGACTGGGCTTTGATAACATTGCCAATGCTACAAAAAAATGTTTTTTTCAAAGAATAATTTTTCAATCTAGCCGAATCATCTGCATTCTTTTTCTTTTCCTCTCCACCACTATATATATATATATATATATATATATATATATATATATATATATATATATATATATATGTGTATTTAGGCAGCATCTTGTCTTTCATACACGTTTCATTAAATAATATAGACAAGACAATTATAATGTTATTAAACTTATTAGACGTTATGAAAAGAGTTTACATAAAAAAAATAGACAACATTTGTCTATATTATTTAATGAAACGTGTATGAATATATATATATATATATATATATATATATATATATATATATAATAAAAGCTTATTGGCTTCATCTATCTATCTATCTATCTATCTATCTATCGATCTGCTAATTAGTGTACAATGATAAAATAAAGCTAGATGCAATGCAGATCGAACTCACTCCACTAATAAATTCCTATGAGAATCTCTTGCTAAGAATAGTAGATGCCATTTTCTGTTGTTTTTGTTTTTTACACCTTGTATATAACGAAGACTACTAGATATTTCTTTTAGTCTTTTAGTCAAAAAGCCAGTAAGAGGTCAGCGGTTATCGAGAGTGATGGAAACTGCAGTAAACTTTATTTTAAAAAAAGGACATTAAAACAACAGGAATCAAAATGAGAGAAAATGAGGTTTGAAGTTGCATTGAAATTTTTGAACATGGTAGTTAACAGGAAATCAACAAGCTGGAGGAGAGTTCCCCATACAAGAAGTGCTAAGGAAGAAACCGTTAGAACAGCTACACCCAGCAATTTAAACAGTAAAATGATAAGATCTAGCTGCCAATTCTTAAATTCGACGTACCAAAGAAGAAAGATCGTCAGAAGAATTACTGTGAAAGTTTTCATGGATACAACAGAGGAAAGCTACGTTACCGCGTTTGGGAAAGTGATTGAACCCGATATGCCAGGTCAGAACCGATAAAACTGCAGATTCTTCCCTGAGGTTTGTTGGTTATTTCTAGATACACAGCCGAAGCAGTAGACCATATATGACAAATATATTCAATGGACGTACGAATGCTAGACTTATAAAAATACAAGAGAGAGGGTGATAAAAATGTCTGGTATGACACAGTGAACCAACTAGTAAGGCAAATAAAGTAGAATCAGATTCAACTCACTAAGAATGGTCTGCGAGATTAGTTTCCTCGCGATCGACCATTTGAAGGAGCCTTTGTTTTACCTCCAGACTCGCTAAATATTCCATTAACACACAAGAAAGCCTTATTCGATTATTCAGTGTATGAAAAACCTTCATATCTGTACTAGTCCGTTTGACATAGTTCAGCGACGATTACTGTGTGCATCCAGAAGTGTGTGCATATACTTTTACATGTGTTTGTGTTAGTTTGTGGTGGGGTGTGTAAATATCTTTTCCTCGGGGAGCGGTTTAATCGGAGTCATTTTTTAGATTCTTTTTTTTTTCTCCACTTATTTGTGCGCTTATTTCTTTGTATATTTCTTTCTTACTTACTTCTTTCTTTCTGACTGTTTTCTTTCCTTCTTTATTTTTTTTTCTTTCTTGCTTAATAGTTCAGTTTTTCCTTTCCTGTTTATTCGTTCTTTTCTTTATTCCTTTCCTATATTTCCTTTGATTGTTTATCTTATCCGACAAGTGAGGATTACCCTTGGTCGGGATCAATAAGTCGACACTATCGGATTTTTCAGCTGCTAATCACTTAAGCAATTGCTTAAAATGTTCAAGTTCTTGGTCGTCTTTCATCTTCGCTCAGAGAATTTTTTTTCATATTTTTTATTCTATTTTTTATTTGAAATACTTTCCACATGATCGATTTCTCTTTTGTTAATCCTATTTGGATGAAGATGAAAATCTCACTTTCAGTTCTGAATATTAACCTGTGGAATAATCACTGATTCTTTTAATTCTTGAAGTCAGAAAAGGATTCAGATTTGGAACTAATTTTGACTTTTCCCGCAACATTTGCCAAAGATTGAATTTGACTTTAACAAAGTCAAATTCAATCTTTAGATATTTAGATTTAGGAAAAATTAAGCAATTGCAATCAATGCAGAACGCGTACAATGTTTATTTGAATTGAGTTAAGTTTCAGTTTGAAATTTGAACTCACAAGGTCAAACCACACGAAATTGGTTTTCATTCATTTTTTATGGCTTAAAAACTCCAATATTCCAAATAGTCGCCTGGGACTTCAGAATACGCGGTCTGCACATGAAATATGACTGAGCGGAGAATTCGGGAAAAAAAAACGGATAAGTCGCTATTGACATACAGGATGCGATCGATAAATTGTCGTCTTAATTACGCAAAAATGAAAATAACACTGACATCATTTTACCACGTATATTTACTAAAATTACACAAAAAATATCTTGAAATACTAAATAGTAAATTTATTCAAAAAAATGGCTAGATGATTTCGGAATATCCTGCTTCTTTTCTGGACGGGCTCCTTGTTTAATTTGGTGGATGTTGCCATAAAACTTACCTTCAGTTCACTTTTCATGTTACAACTGCGTCTCAAACATAATATTCACGGGGATTACAGTCTAGGGAGTTAGGTGCCCACATGTAAAGTGTGATGTGATCACAGAAATTCTCTGACAGTCATGACTGGGTTGTCTCCCTTGTGTGGCATGGTGCTAAGTCCTGTTGTGTTCGCCCCAAACTCCTTCGTAATCACCATTAGACCCATGCAACTCTTTCTGAATATATATCTCCAGATTTTTGAAGGAATGAATTACGTCATGGTGTTCTTTATTCCACAGGTGGTGCTCAACTGAGCCGACTATATTGGGCAGTCGTCAAAATAAAAAAGAAATAACGTACATGCGTGAAATTAAAAATATAAAATGGCGACAATTTACCCATCGCACACTATATTTAATTTTTTGCAAACTTTAGCAGCGGTAGCACTTCTTCCCGAGAATTGCTATTTTGTGGAACAGACTCCCGAGAGGATGCTTACCTAATCACTACAAGCCTAGGGTCAACCTTTAACTATACTGCATTTACTTGCTTCTCTTACATCCAGACAAAATATACAGATCCGCTTAGTTCCCTAAACAGCTACGCAAAAAAGTTACTTGAATATTTAGTAAAAAAAAGCAACTTCAGACTATTACATTATATTACTACTATGTGTAAAAAAGCAACAGAAGTAAAATGATAGAAACTTGATAAATATTATCTTACTTATTATAAAACGCAGATTGTGTGTGTGGGGGTTTGTCTGTACGTTTATATATTGGATCGGATTTCCTACATTTTTCAACCGATTTCAACAAAACTTCACAGGACTACATAAAATTACCTTGCGGTGGTTCTGACAGCGTCAAAAATTGGAAAAACACAATTGTTTTTGCATGGAATCAATTTGAAAACACGATTAAGAGGCATTAATGAAAGGGAGACAACTCATATCGAGTTATACTTATTAATATCGAGTTATCGAGTTACACTTATTATAAAACCCAGGTTCGTTGTGTGTGTTCGTTTATATATGGGATCGGATTTCCTACATTTTTCAACCCATTTCAACAAAACTTTTTTTTGGCAGGTAGTGTTTCTTATTGTCTTGCACACTTTTTTCTTTATTTTTACATTCAGAATGCTTTTTAAAGCATTCTGAATGTAAAAATAAAGAAAAAAGTTTTTCCATTTACAAGACAATTGTTCATAATAAAATTCTATTCAATCGGTAGACTCATAACGATTGAAAACAATGTTTTTGTTTGAGTTTGGGTTTGACCAATTCGTAAAAAAAAATAAAAATAAAACTAATTAAGACATGCGTGTCCGTCAACCTTAAACAATAATCTTTGTCAATTTTATTTTTCAGTCTTTATGATGGTCGATACTTGATCTATCTCTTACTGTTACATCCCCGGGCAACGCCGGGCTCTACTCCTAGTTAGTAATAAAAATGTTTAAGAAATTAAAGACAGTTAAGACCGTTACATTTCATTATTACCAGGTGTAAATAATCAACACAAATAAGATAAAAGACGACTTAAAAATTAATAATAATGATAATTCTTCATGTAAGAACGACATTACTGCAAGGCGTAAAAAAGGAACAGTGATAAGCTGAAAGAAAGACTCGTCGAAATTATTAATCGCCGGCAATGTTTCATACGAAAAATGAAAAATAAAACTAAATTAACAAACTATGAAACCAGACTAATATAAAGGGAAATTTCTCAGTACTAGTATCAAAAGAAACCAATTTTCTTATCGCTATAAAAAGAATTGACATTTTTTTATACTAAAATGACCTATATTTTTTCTTTATCGCTATTAGAAAAGTTGTGCTGAGATATAAGTTATCTATTTTGAAATCGCAATAAATAAATAAATAAATGGAAGGTACAAAATTCAAGAATGTCGGTTAGAGATCTTTAGTAAGTTTTGCATATATGTGTATTCGCTTTTGTTTTTATTTCGTGACCGAACAGATTTTTGTTCAGTCCAATAGAAATCGCTGTAAAAACAACATAGTCAAGGAAGCTCAAGCAAAAAGAAGAGATCCGCTTAGTCCACATGAAACATTTTTATACTTGTATAAAAATGGCTGATATGAAAGGAAGAT